AAAGATTATGCAATCATCGTCCTGATGGTTCAAGTAAATTTGTCACTCTGCTTTCTCTTGAAAAGGGTCTCGGTACTCACCCCTAGGCCCAAAAGAACCACAAGGCAATAGCAAAACTACTATGGGTTCACAAAAAATACTACATTATACCACATCACCTAGACCCGCTCCATTCAACCCTCTCGAAAATCCAATTGCCACCAATAGAACCCCCACAACACACCAGGAGGCTCATACTTGAAACCTCTAAATCCACGTTACAATCTGCCAATACTAAAACTCTCACACAAAATTCCTCAAACTTATGTTTTCCATGTGTGATAAATAACATCCCCGAGCATTGATGCAAAAATAAACGAGTCATGATGTTGGAAGATGCTAAAAAGAGTGGGGAGGAAGGGTTTGAGGAAAATGGAGATGAAGAAAAAGAAGATGCGAGGACTATTTTCCTGCAACTATTAAGGGTCATTAGCATGCCAATATCATTCAAATCCGAGGGTTTATTTGGACACCATCAATTGTAATTTTGATTGATAGTAGTGGTCCTCACAAATTTTTGGATGAATGGGTGGTCAGGTGAATCAATGGTCGGTTGGTAAGAACTAGGCCCTGAGGTGGTGTTTGAAATACTTTAACTCTCTGCTGTTTTATTTTGTCCATATGAGGGTGATCCTCGAGAAATTTGGTGGTATGTACTACAGGGACTAATTGATCAAACAAAACTGCAAACATTATCTAGCAATACCTTGGAGAAGATGATAGAGAAGGGATGGGATGAAAACATGGGGGCTAATCTATTGCTGAAAATGCTATCCAACAATACCAAGAAGATAATAAAGAAGGGATGGGATTACAAATTGTGAATAAAAATTCCATCTAGTTATCATAACGACTAAATTCCATTTAGTTACTATCATGTGCTTCAAATGAACTCTGCACTTAAATCTAAATTTAATAAAATATGCATTTCTGCAGGTTATATCCACAAAGGTTGGAATCATGTACGTGAAAGCATTTCATCTGCATTTCTTAGCTAACTTTTAGTAGCACAAGAAAGAATTCTAACTCCATGACACCTTGTCAATAAACAATTTCATTTAGTTACAATAACTACTAAATTAAGGTAATAAAAATCACAACATCACACGTTGGTAGCTCTTGGTACCATAAGTATTACTTAGTTGACTGGGACAGAAGTGTTTGTTCTGTGTTTGGAGCCATAAGAAATTAATTAGAACAACATAAAATAACAAAAATCAAGTACATAAAATTGTTCTTAATTTATGGTGGGACTAACTTGTTCCACAACTTTGTACAAAACTAAAAATGTTAATATAACTAAATATTCTTACAAATTTCTCTTATTTCCCAAATTACCATTTTCTCTCATACAAAACATAACTTAAATTTCTTTTTAGATCTTTCCTAACTTAAATACTCCAAAACATCTAAAGTGTTTTTCTCTTTCTAGAAGTCCAACTGGGCAAAATCTCTTAACTCCTTTTTTTCCATTCCATGAAGTTTTTAATGACAGGTGATGATTTGTATTATTTAGCCAAAAATATATTGCAAATGATGCTTGTTTTTGTATGTAGTGTATATTTATATAATACACATCCTAATTTCCCTGAAACGTAACATGTATACGTACACATCCTAATTTCCCTGAAATATAACATGTATTATGCAAAATGGTTAAATCATATTTGTGCTTTATATATATATCCATATGAATACAATATATATAGGCTTATATAAATAATTCACTGTTACTTTAAGATTAGTTATAATCAAATTAAAGAGTAATTATTGATTATTCTGTCTAT